GGGTGCCCCCTGCAGCCCTGATCCTCTCGTAGGTCTCCACATCACCCCCAGTCCTCTCAGATGTGGGGTAGTCCACGTCAAACCACTCTGTCCACAGGCAGCGGGGCTCGCAGCTGGTGGCCGTGGGATTCTGGGTGCTGCCTGCCCAGCGAGTGTTTGGCAGGGCTGATGAAGGTGATACTGTGTGCGAGGTGAACTCCGTGGCTGGCAGGGAGCTCTGGCCTGTGTGCACCGCTGTCTCCCAGGTCACTGTGCTCAGGGTGGGACTCGACAGTGTCTTGGGTGTGGGTACTGTGGCTGTGGAGGTGTTTATTGGCAGGGAAGAACCACAGGGCCTTTGCTCACAGCACAGGATGCGCAGCTCATAGTTGTGGCAGAGTGGGGGGCTCTGCTCACTGTTGAGGCAGACCAAACCCCGGGTTGGCTCGCAGTCTATCTTCTGCCCCAGCTCCTGCAGGGGTGACCCCGGGAACTGTTCTGCCCGGCATTCGATGTTGGCAGGCATCGGGCACACTGGGTACCCCTTCGCCTTCAGGGCTGCAAGTGTCTCGAAGTCCCCGCCTCCCATGCCAGGCTCCGGTCGACCCCCATCGAACCAGGCAGACCATTGGCAGACCTCTCTGGTACACATGGTGGGTATGGTGTCTGGAGAGCCTGCAAGGCGTGGGAGAAGCCACTCAGGCTTCTCTGTACCAAGCCCCAGTGCCCCAAGAGCAGTGGGCATGAGGGAGGGCCCACCTCCCAGGGTTGCCTTGAGGCCTTGGGGGGCTGCTGATTCATGAAAGGCCAGTCCTGGCTCCATCTGCTCACTGTTGAGGCAGCTCAGTCCCCAGAGTGGCATTGTCATGCACAAGAAGGTATCTGGAGAGGTTTTAGGACCCCAACACAGCCCTGTCACTGAGGGGCACCCTGTGATAGGTAGCAAGCAGGGCCAGGACTAAGCCCAGTCAGACAGCAGGGTGGGTGGGTGGGGCCAAGTGAACCCAGGGCCCTGCTCCAGCATCTTCCCTTTCCCAGATGGGCCACGACTGCCCCTGGAGATGCACCTGCCTACCTGTTGTGGGGAGGATGGCAGAGGTGGTGGTGAAAGTAAACGGTGATGTGGACAGGGTTCCGGGACACTCCATGGCCCTGCGGATCAGGGTCCCATTGTCTCCGCAGATGGCAGTTAAACAGGCACCAAGGCCATCAGTGGTATTGTAGATGACATCCCCATAGCTGTAGGTCTGTTCCCCGTAGGTACATGTGCAGGCTGGGGACAGCAGGGCCGGGTCACTCAGGGCCTCCCATCCTGGGCCCAGTCCCAGCCCCTCGGTCCCCCTTACCTTCGGTGCTGTGAGCACACTGGATGCCCCCCGGAGTACAGCGACTGCAGGAGAGAAGCCAGTGAGGGCCTGTGCAAGCCAGCTTCCACCCTGCACCCAGGCCACCGCCCACCCCTCACCAGCGCCGGCAGTTCTCGGCTGTGGGGGTCTGCACACCGATGTCATAGTAGTTTCCATCCGCATCATAGCAGCCACACTGGGCCACACACTTCATCTGGTCCTCATTGAAGAAGGGCTGGCTGGGTGGGCACTTGGGGTAGCAGCCTGCGGTGGGGTGGGGGCCCACTAGGCCTTAAGGCCTCTCGGGACAGGACTGGGCTGCCCAGTGACACCCTCCACAACCCACAGTGGGGGCACATCCCTGGGTGCACCCTCACCTTCAAGACCAGGCAGGTCGACCAGGCAGTGGCCACTGGGGTTGCGGCAGGTGCGCAGGCAGGGTGCCCCACAAGGCTGGTAATGCCACTCACACTCCCCGGCGGGGTTGTAGTAATCACAGAAGAGTGCTGGGCAGGGGGCAGAGACTCAGATGGCGCCTGTCAGGCCCCTTCACCAGTGTGTCACCCAGGGGTTCCTTGGGGCCCCCTTGTTTAGGGGCTGCCTTCTAGACTACACAGGTTTACAGCTGCATGTGGGCACACTTGTAGGCAGGCACACATGCTAGTGTCTGAGTGTGACTAAGTGTCAGCCCAGGCCAACCCGGCCCTTCAGTACCACGGACAGAACCCCACTCACGGCAGATGTCTGGCGTCCTCCAGGACACACACACGCCCACGTCGTGGCAGGCCTGGGCGTAAGCAGCCACGGCTGTGCAGAAGCACTCGCAGTCACCCCCTGAGTCACAGGCACACGCATCACGCACACAGGCCTCGTAGTACTTGATGGAGTCAACCTGGAGTTGGGGTAGAGGTCTGGCTCAGGAGGAAAAGTATCCACCCAGTGTTGCTAGGCTTGGCTGGTCCAGTGCCCACATTAGTGGTCTGAGGTCCAGCATTCCAGGGCAGTGGGTGACTCAGTGTCCTGCGCAGGAACTGTCCCCAGCACCACCTCTCCAGCTCACTGGAGTATTTGGCCACCTGTCTACCTGCCCCAGGTCCACCTGCCCACCTCCAACCACCCAGCTGCCCACCTGCCCACCTACTTATTTAATCCTCTCTCTGCCCACCTATTCCTCATGTTTGCTTGCCCACCTGCCTGTTTCTCTACCTGCCCACTTATTTACCCGCCCACCTATCTGCCTACTCACGTGTTGACCTGTCCACCTGCCCACCTATTCACCTACCTATCTACATTTCCCCCTGCACCCGCCTGCTACACACCTGCAGCCCACCTGCACACATGTGAACCTTACCTAGCCTTGGATTCTCTTATCAATGAGTCTTACCGTGTGGGGTGCAGGCTGCCCCTGGCCCAATCGCTGCACCCTGGCCACCGCTACCTGTGCCTGACACACTCTGATCCTACCACCAGCCTCTGTTCCACTCTGCCTTCCATTGGCTGAGTCCTCTTCTGCCACCGTTGCCCCTCTGTGCAGAACCCCTGCTCACCATGCTGGGCCTTGCTTCTGAAGGTGACTTCCATGACAGGTCTGTCCCTGTTTGCAGCAGCAAGCCTGCCACTCAGGACATGCCCTGGGGAAGTTCTGGGAGCCTGACTTCCAGACCCCAGGCCTTTGCAACATCGGTGGTCACCTGTCTGTCCTCATGAGCAGGGTGAGCCCTGACCTGGCTGCGCCTGTGTGAGAGCTTGGACGTTACCCCATTCTCACTTCTGCCAGATGGAGGCGTCTGCAGCTGAGATCAACTGTCAGACTGCAGGGACCTTCTCAGACAGAGGATGGCCACCAGGGCATGCTAGCCGCCTGCTCCAGGGGACATGTGTGGAGAGAGAGGGCTCACAGTGTGGGCATGAGAGTGTGAACGCTGACTGCACTTTCATGAGCTGCCTGCCCCTCACTGGCTCCTAAGTCCTACTAGGAAGCCACACGCCTGCGTGGACCCTTGTGAAGGTTCACACGGGACTTTTAGAAGCCTCTCTCAGGCTGGTCACCCCTTCTCTGGGAGCCCCACTGGCTTTCTGTCCCTACTGTAGTGCCCTAAGATCAGCTCTGAGCCAGGGACAGAGGTCCAGGCCCAGATCCCCCTGGAGCAGGAGGCAGCTGCCAGCCCCTGGCCCTGCCTGCCAAGCTGGAGCCCTGGGCCTGTCTGGGCCCCACCTGAGAGCGGCAGGCAGAGAAGGCGGCACTGTTGATGATGCTGCACTGCCTCTGGGCCCAGGACTTGCGGTACGGGTTGGCCACACAGGGGTCCTTGGGCGCCGGGGCGTCGGGGCAGGTGGGTGAGAGCTTCCAGCTGTTCCCAAACTCCAGCACATCGCCCACCACAGCCTGGCTGCGTGTGGTCAGGTCATTGATGGCGTTGTCGTCGAAGTTCCCGCACAGGCCACAGACCCTGCCCTGAAGTGGGAGAGACATGGGGCCAAGCAATGGGTATGGGCCTTCCAATCCTGGCCAGAGCAGCGCTCTGTAGAATTCCAGGGGGCAGGGGAGCAGGAGTTGCAGGGGTGCTGGCTGGGCCCCCTGGAGAGGCCTTTGCCTTGCAAGGTCAGTGGACAGAGCCTGCTCACTATGCAGTGCTCCAATGTTCCCCGTGGTTGGTGTGGGCTCCACAACCCCTCTCAGACCCTGACAGCTGGATGACCTGCCTGCCAGGCTTTTCTGAGTGAGGACAGAGTGGGGTCCTCTGGTGGTCTCACCTTGTAACTCTGTGGCAGGCGGATGAACACGCTGGTCTTCCGGTCCCAGGACACAGCCATCCCACTGCGGGTCTCAATGACCAGGAAGATGCCCATGTAGCGAACCTTGTAGGGAGGGCTGCTCCCTGGCCCCCTTGCCACCACCTTGAAGCCTCCTTCATGGAGAATCAGCTCATAGCTCTGTGGATGGAGGCACATAGTGGCTGGAGAAACTGGAGCCCAGTCTACCAGCCCTGGCAGGGACTCCTGGAGGCTCAAGGCTTGTGGCGTGGGGATGTAGCCAGAGGCAGGCAAGACGTGCTGCAGTTAGGGGAGGCCATGTGCTGGGAGGAGCCCCAAGGCTCGCCTCACCCAGCCCTCTTTGTAGGGGCAGCCCCCTAGCAGGCTGCTCGGCTGCTGCTCCTGTGCACCCTCCTCCTATGGCTGGACATGGGAGCCACGCGCATGGGGGGGTGAGCTGGGGCCCAGAGGGTCTGAGCGCAGCTGAGCCCCAGGACCTAAGGATGTGACCCTGGGAAAAGCGGAACCATTCTGAACGACCAGGGCAGCCTTAAACTCAATGACAGGGAGGGTTCCAACACAGATGAGGTGGCCACAGGGAGCAGGCAGGGCTGGGGGTGTGGCCACAGGCCAGGTGCCTGGGGCCTCTGACTGAGTCTGTGGGTGTGGCTGGACACCAGGCCTTGGGACTGTGAGACTCATGGAGGCCTCTGTGACTGGCGGCAGGAGGTGGCCCCGCACTGCATGGGCATCCCACCTCCACGAAGATCTTGATGGCCTTGGAGCAGGTGGTCCCAGTGGTTCCACAGGGGACATTCTCCGTGACAATGCGGAAGGTCCCTTTGGCACTGGTGTTGCTCCCGCAGTAGTCCTGGAGCAGGAAGAGATGAGCAGGGCTGCCACAGGCTGAGGCAGCCAGTCTTGGGTGGGGGTCGGGCAAGGGGCCACGCACCTGGGCCAGTGTGTACTCGCAGCTGCCTTCAAAGCTATAGCGCTCGCCATCGAAGGTGATGAAGTGGCCATCCCCGTAGGCCACACATGTGCCCAGGCAGGGCTGGCTGCTGCACTCCCAGTGGCGGTTCCTGCAGGTGCTGGGGGCGGCTGTCACAGTTACCTTCAGAACCCTGTGCCACCTACCACGTCAGGCGGAGTGCCAGCCCCAGGCTGCACCACACCCCCGTGGTGCCTCCTTGCTCAATCCCCCAGCAGACATACCAGGTGTTGCAGCCGACGCGGATGACCTCCCCGGGCCGGTAGCTGGCCTCGTTGTGCACACAGGGACAGTCCTCCTCGGCAACACAGCTCCCGCTCCCATCCGACACCAGCCCCGGGGGACACACGCAGCCTGAGACGCAGTGTGTACTGAACTGTGGGGCACAGACAGCCAGGGCTAGGAACATGGCCTGCTCTCTGGGGCCCCAGGCCCCAAGCTGGGAGACACTGCCCATGCTTGGGGTGCCAGGTGGAGGGGGTCAGAGAGCCCCACAGTCACTGTGTGCAGAAGCACAGGGACCCCGGGACCCAGGACCCAGGAGGCCACACCCCTCCACCCTCCCAGGCGGGCTTTGGACTGTGGTATGGCTGTGCCCAGCACTCACGCATTCCACATCCAGTGAGTGGCAGCTTCGGAGGCACTCGGCCCCGGGAGTACCAGCCGAGGCATTGCTGCAGTCGAGGTACACCATAGGCGCCACACACCCTGGGGACAGGGCAGGAGCCCGTGGCAGGCCAGGCGGGGTGTAGGTCCTGCCCATACCCAGCCCCGCATGTCCCCCGCACCCTGCCTCCCTGGCTGTGCCCGGCGGGTGCTGGTACCTGGGCTGCTCTGCAGCAGGGCTCCCAGGCAGCTCAGCTTCCCACGCGAGCACGAGCTACAAAAGAGAGCCCAGTGCACCAGCAGCCCCTCAGCCCCGCCTGTCTCCCTCACCAGACCGGGAGGTACTGCTGCTAGTCTCTGCCAAAGGTGCTTGGTGGCCGGAGGCAGTGGACCTGGGGCTAGGGTGTGGCCCTCAGCTTGGGCCACGCTGGGAGCTGCAGTGTCCCCCAAGACCAGATGTGGCGGGCCTGGCCTCGCTGGGGTGCTGTTGGGGGGACCTTCAGGAGGGGCCCAGTGGAGGAAGTAGGTCCAGGGCAGACCTCCAGGGTGTGGGCCCCCCACCCAGTCTCCCCACTTTCCTGCCACAGGGCCAGCAGTTCTGCAACCATGTTCTGCCTCAGACTGGAGCCCCCAAAGTGGGTCCTGTCAAGACCCAGGTGGAACAGGGTAGGATACAGCCAGCTGGGCAGTTGGGAGCTGGTGCAGAGCCCTAGAGGACCCCCACCTCCACCCCTCTGAGGTCTCAGGACTACAGAGCAACTTCAGGCCTCCTCCCACGGTCTGCTGCCAGGATGCCCCACCCAGCCTGGCCTTCTATCTGGAAGATCTGGCTGGGTGGGAGGCTAGGAGGAAGGTGAGAGACCAAGGGTGGGCGGAGCCCCACTGGGAAGTTTTGCAGGTGCAACTGAGATGAGAGGAGCCCGCACGTGGTAAGCATGTCCACACTGGTAGCCACTGGATGCCTCCGTCTGTGGCCAAACTCCAGGACTCCCCATGTGCCCCAGAGACCAAGGCCTTACCACACCACACCGTCGTCCTGCACAACCTCCCCGGGCGCCACCACATTGCCATGGAAGTAACAGGGACACTCATGGGCTGGCACACATGCACCAGCCTCATCCAAGAAGGTGCCCGTGGGGCAGACGCAGCCATCCACAGGCACAAAGGGCACACCGCAGGTGACGTCAGCCTCACTCAGGCCACGGCAGGTGGGCTGGCAGGCGTCCACGACATACATGTAGCTCTGGGACTTGGGGCAGCTGCTCACGTATTTGGCTGTGGGGCAGGGCAGAGAGTGTGAAGCTGGCTGCAAGGCTGTCCAGTGCCAGGCACAGCTGGGGTGCTGTAGCTGCTGCCACGGGGGCCACGTCCTCACCCAACTGGGATTCCCGCCCAGCCAGCCCACAGCGCACTCACTGCAGACGCCGTCCCGCCAGCCGCGGAGCAGCACGCCCTTGGCGGCACAGGCGTGCACATAGGAGGCCAGCGCAGCACACAGGCAGTCCTCGCTCCTCTCGCAGTTGCACGTGTCAAACATGCAGTTCTGGGGGCAGGCGGTGTGTCAGGAGCCGGCCAGGGCCCAGGACCACACATCCCATTCCACCCCATCGCTGTGAGAGAGAAACTGCCAGAAGCCACTGGAAGCTGGCCCTGATGGCCAAGCTTACTGCCAAGGACACCATGGCAACTGAGCCCCAGAGGAGAGGACAGTAGAAAGGACAAGAGCAAAGCCTGGGGGTGGAGACCCAGGGACAGCAGAAGATGGAAAGCCAGAGAGGCCAGGTCCAATGGAGGGGTCCCCACAGGACAAAGACAAGTAGAACCCCAGTGGCCTGGGGGTGGACTGAGGCAAGAGCTGGCTGGAGAGGTGGAGTCCACCAGTGGGGGCACTTGAAGGTGACCTGGGGTCTTTGTCTGGAGACCCTGGGGGAGGACTTGGGTGCTTTTCAAGGTTTTGGCTTCCAGGAACAGGGCCCTGAGACACCCGCTCTGGGTGGAACCACGTCCCTGCGATGGCTCACTGGGTTGGAGCAGTGGGCGGAGCCCCACTGGGAAGTTTTGCAGGTGCAACTGAGATGAGAGGAGCCCGCACGTGGTAAGCATGTCCACACTGGTAGCCACTGGATGCCTCCGTCTGTGGCCAAACTCCAGGACTCCCCATGTGCCCCGCAGGCACTCACCGAGTGGAAGGGTGTGGGGTTCACAGTGGAGTGGCAGGCGGAGAAGGCTCCAGAGGAGTCAGTCAGCAGCGAGCACCAGTGCTGGGCATAGTTCTCTGGGGAGGGACACATAGTGTTGCCCCCTGCCCCCAGCCCTGCCAGCCCTCCTCAGGAGTCAAGTGCACGGTGGGCTGCCCTGCTTGGGCCCGCTCATTCACCCTGCCCCGGGGAAAGGGGTACCGTTCTCCACGCTGAGCGAGCAGGGGTCCTCGAAGCTGTTCTTGGCGTTGGGGCAGGAGGCCTGGGTCTTCCAGGTGTTGGCGAAGGCGGCGCCTGTGCCCTCCACCACTCCGCTCAAGGCCGTGAAGTCATCTGCCTGGTTCCTGTTGAAGTTCCCGCACAGGCCTGGGCCAAGCCAGGTCACTCAGTGCCTCCTGCCTGGCCACTGTGTCCAAGCCTGCTGCCCTCCTGGCACCACCCAGGGCCACTCTGGAGCCACCCGCAGATAAGTCTGGGTCGCACCACCTGGCCTGCCCCACCCTGCATGACTGTCCTGGGCCTCCCCACCCCTATCCGCCCCTCGCCCTCCAGCCCTGCGCTGGAGCTGGCAGGCCTCACCACACATCTGGCCATGGTATGAGGGGTCCAACGTAATGTGAACCTGCATGATGGGCACCAGCTGCACCTGCAGCTGCAGGCCGAGCCCTGTCTGCACCAGGATGAAGAAGGACGAAGGCTTGAAGATGGTGATGTTGGCTATGGAAGAGGACATGGGCTGCAGGAGACCAATAGCCACCCCACCACACCTGAGCAAAAGCGGCTTGGAATAACCACCCCACACACGGGTTCCCACAGCGACCAGGGTTGTGTCCCACCCTGTCACCCAACTTCTCAACTTAGCAGCCAGCCCCTGGGCTACTCTGGGAGTGCCTGAGACCCAAGAACCTTCCAGGGACCAAGTCAGGCCCAGCGGGCTCCAGGGTCCACGCCCTGGAGGGGCCATCGCACCTAGCTGGTGGGAGCCACACACCTGCCGACACTGGCAGCCGGGTATAGATGGAGTTCATGAACACAGCACCGCTGGCCTGGACACGGATGGCCTGGGAGCAGAGGGCCAGGCTGGGGTCAGTGCCCACCGGCCACTCGAGAGGGGCCATGGGAGGCCATGGGCCTGCCCTGGTGGGGATCTGGGAGCTGTCCCTGGGAAGGGGCTGCCCTGCCCCAGGTTCCCTGCCTCTGCCCCTTCCAGCCCTGTGGACAGGTGGCAGGGGCCCCCTCACCGTGTCCCCGCCATTGAGGCTGAGTGTCACCGCTTTGAGGCAGTTCTCAGTGTCTGTCAGGCCGCACTTGCGCAGCTCAGCCAGCACAGTGAAGGTGCTGTCTGCACATCTCTGCAGGAAACCAGGCTTCATGGGTCTAGCCTGGGCTGGGGTGGCCCCAGGGGCGGCCAGTCCCCAAGTCTGGGCTCCCCTGTCAGCATGGGCCTGTCCACCCATGGCGGCCAGGGGACCCTCACCTTGGACAGCACATAGCTGCAGTCACCATGTACATCATAGAGCTTCTCGTCGTAGGTGGAGATGTGGGACCCACCTCGCACAGAGCAGGAGCCTGGGCACGGCTGCTCCTGGCACTGCCATAGCCCCCCAGAGCAGGTGCTGCGGGAGACATGTGAGCAGGGGGTGCAGGAATAGGTGCCCCACCAGCTCCACACAGCCCGTGAGGGCAGGACCTACCAGGAGCTGCAGCTGGTGGTGAAGGAGGCGCCAGGAGCAAAGGTGTGGCCGCCGTGGGTGCAGGGGCACTGGGCCAGGGGCAGACAGCCAGCGTGTGTGACGTCGTCCAGCACCGTGCCTGGGCAGGAGCAGGCAGCGAGCAGGGTGAGGACCTGCGCACAGACCACCTGCCCAGACACAGCGACCTCTCCTCACAGGAGGCCCCAGCAGAGGCCCTGCTCTGCTAGGGCCCATTGTCAGGGCGAGCTCCGTGCTCTGCTGGCGTGATCCTCATTGGCCCCAGGGCTGTGACACCTGTCTGTCTCTCTCAGGAAGCACACCTCTGATTCCTAGGGTCAGAGTCCACCCCTTTGGGCTCTTGGGTGAGACCTCTCCTGGGCAGAGTCGGGGCTAGAGGAAGGGTGTAGGGCATAGGGCCTGCCTGGGGGACAGAAGCAGCCATCCACACAGTGGTCCTCGCACATCTGGGAGCGCTGGGGGTTGGAGCAGGTGTCGGTGCAGGGTGAGCCACACTCCCGGTGCTCCATGCCGGAGGAGCATGTCTGGGCTGCAGGGGGAGGCAGTGCTCAGTGCTGAAACCCTGCCCCAGTGCAGTCACACCCACCCTGTCCTTCTGTGGCCCCAGAGGTCCCCAAGGACAGCGTTAGGCTCAGCTCTTCCCTGCCCATCTGAGGCCCTGGTAGGACTAGGAGGCTTTGGCTGACGCCTGCTCGCAGAGCCTCGGGGCTGTGTCTCCCTCCGGGCCCACAGGCCCTCAGCATCTCCAGGCCTGGCCGCACCCTAGCTCCTGACACGTCCTCTGCTCACCGCCTCTCACTGTCTCCACAGCCACACACCACGACCCTGTGAGCCTGGCCCAGCCCTGCGGGGCACTCACGGCAAAGGCTGGGGCCTCTCCAGTTCTGCGGCTGGCCCCCACTGTGGGCACACTGGCGGGAATACTCAGCAAAGGTGGCACAGGGGCACAAGGGACAGCGGCACAAGTCCTGGACACAGGCAGCCACGTACACACTGGTGTCCACCAGACCGTTGCACTCTGAGAAGGCTGGGCCAAGCAAGACGTGGCGACAAAAGTCCTCCTGGGGGCAGCACAGGAAGGTTGGGCTCCCTCTGACCCCAGACAGGAGGGCCGCGTGCCTGTGTGAGGACACTGTCCTTCGCAGGCCAGGCCAGAGAGCCCCTTCTTCTTCACCTCAAGGTTTCTTCACCACCCACCCACCCATCCATCCATCAACACAGCCACTCATTCACTCATTCACCCATGTACCCACACATATGTCCACATACCATGCACATACACACCTACTCATCTACCCATCTCTTCACCCAACCACTCACCTGTTCATCTACACGCTCATCCACACACCCATATATCCATCTATACGTCCACCCACCCACCCATCACCCTTCCATCCACTTGTGCTTCTACCCAACTCAGTGAATTTGCAGCCATGACTACAGACGTATGCTTGGCTCTGGGGAGTGACGCCGGGCTCTGGACCTGTCACACCAGGTTCCAGGACACACTTGCCCATGGTGAACACACAGGAAGAGCAGACTCTGGGTGAACTTGGGGTCCACCCCTGGTGGTGGCTCAGAGAAAGGGGAGATGGAGGCTCAGGGCTGCCTGTGACAAATGTCCTCCTGCCCAGGACCCCAGCTGGCTGGCATGGGGTTGCAGCTCCCTGGTTCCCATCATGATTTAGGGACCTGGCCTTCTGCTGGCCTGAGGGCTCCTGGTGCTTCCAGGCCCCATCCTCCCTGGTAACTGGAGGGGTGCTTGCTCCAGCTCCCCAGTGCCCCCAGGGGCACGTTTGCCACACACGCTGTTGCTGCATGCTCAGAGCTGCCTGCCCAGTGTGGCGCCGGAACTCCCCACAGAGGTGTCTCACTCCGCACGCTGTCCTCCTCGGCCCAGCCCCAGGGTGCAGGACTTTTTCCTCAGTGAGGCTGGGGCTCTGGTCTCTGTCCTGTCTGTTCACTCTGGGCCGTCTCTCAGGCCTCAGCTCAACTGCCTGTCCCACATCACCACCCACAGGCGACAGGGGAAGGTACTCACCCCCCCCGTGCAATTGTCGGGCGGCGAGGGTAGCGGGTCCTGGCACTGCTCTGTGGGACCGTCGAGCTTCTGCAGATTCCCGAACTGGAGAGGGCTCAGCCTGGTGTCTGCCAGGAGAGCGCCCTGCGTGGGAGGCCGTCCAGCTGGCCGGGGCTGGGGCCACGCCTCCACCCGCAGGCGCTCCCGACTCACTGCACCGCCTCCAGGGCCACTCACTGTGCACATAGAACTCGCTGACGTCTGGAAGCCCGTTGAAGTCCCCACATAGCCCACAGGTCTGGTTGGCAAACTTGGGGTCCAGTTCAAGCTGCGGCAGGCAGGGCCACTGCAGCCTCAGGCCTCTGCCCTGCTCCACAGGGCCCTCCCCTGGGGCTGGAGGTTCTCCCCCACCCCATCGGCCCCTGGGCCAGGCCCCCTCACCAGAGCACTGTCCTGTCCATTCCACAGGAAGGTGAGCACCAGCCGGACACTGACCTTCACGTAGTCACTGTTCTGCTCCACCAGGAGGCCAGCACGGCTATAGGGCAAGTCCTCCCTAGGGGAGTATGCAGTCAGGCTGGGCTGCCCCCTTGGCTCGGGCACTGCCACCCTCAGGAGGAAGGCTGGCCTGCTCACCGCTGCCCGTCAACCAGGACAGAGCCGTTGGACAGCTCCAGCACCAGCCCCTGGGCCTTGAGTACAATGTGGGTGATGGCAGGTCTGTCGCCCACAAGGCCGCGGCGCAGCTGCACGTTGAAGTCCTCGTAGGCCGCGCCGCAGTGCGCAGAGAACACATAGTTGCAGAGGCCGGGGAAGCGGAAGACGGCGCCATCAAAGGTCTTGTAGTGGAAGTCGCCCCAGGTGCTGCAGACGCGCCCCGTGTGTGCGGGGTTCAGGGCTGCGGGGAGCCAGAAAGTGGGCGCCTGCCGACCCCCTCCATGCCCAGCCCCCCACAGCCCTGGGCTGCCACCGGAGACCAGGTGCCCTATTGCCCTACCTTGCTCCCCCAGGACTCCTAACCATCCCAGGGCCCAAGGGTGCACAGCAGATTCTACCAACAGGACACCGCCCTACCCAGGGACACCCACAGGTGACAGCCTCACCCCAGCCTGGCAGAATCCCCCAGATGGCAAGTGGCCACCTCCTACTTACAGCTTACACTGGGGAAGACGTCGAGGGGTGGAATAAAGGTCAGGCGCTGGGCAGACGAAGACGTGTGATAAGCTGTGGACAGGGCCCGGTCACAGGGGGCCACGGCTGTGGACACCCTCGTCCCACCTCACGCTCTGCAATGCCCATTCTGGGGACATCAGGGCTCAGGACTTGGGACAGGGCTATCCAGCTCCTCTCACTCCCTGCTGGGCCCTCCCTGTCTGCCCACGAGCTTGCAGGTGGCCGGCAAGATCTGCTGCACACCTCCATTTCCCTGGGAGGCCTGCCCCCTCCTGCACCTGGCATGGTCCCCAGACAGAGGCCCGGGAGGATCCCATCAGGAACCCCGGGCCCCTGCACACCGCCATGCACCCGCCCACCCCATCAGGAGCCCCAGGCCCTGCACACCACCATCCACCCTGGCATCATGAGCGGCAGGCTCTGTGTACCCTGGAGCCCACTCCACAGGGGTCTGGGTCTCTGCGGGAAAAGGTAGGAGTGAGCAGGGGTGAGGAGGCAGCCAGCTGATCAGAGCCACCGCCACAGTGTGAGGCACGTGGCAGGCTCTGGCCCAAGGCTGAGCCTCCTCTGAGAGCTTCACAAGCCTGAAGGGGACCGGACGTGACAGCCCTACCTGCCCTCCCAGCCTGTACATGTGGGCAGCCACCTCATCCCCTGAGGGACAGGGAAGAGGTCCTGGCCATTCAAGGAAGAAAATGGAATCAGGAAGCAGCCTCATCCCAGAACGCAGCCATCCAGGGGGTTCAGCCCCCTCCTTCTATCCCTCAGAGAACAAAGGCCAGCTTTGTTGGAGGGACATGGTGGGAGGATTCCAGGAATGACTTAGCAGAAACCCAAGATCGGGACCGGCCCAGAACTGGAACCAGGAGTTGGGTGGGTGGCAAGAGGTGTTGGCACAGGGAGGGCCCCAGGGTGGTCTCCACTAGCCTGGCCCCAGCCGGAAGAAGCAACACCAGCCCACCACTGAGGGACAGCATCCCTGCAGCACCCATGGCTCTGAGAGGGCTGCATCTCAGGCCAGGACTCAGCTGGCATGTGGGCTGTTCCCAGTACCCTGGCGGCCCACTCCCTGTTTGCTTTCCCACCATGGCCTGCTAACATTTGAAAACCGCAGGACCGTCCATCCCTCCTCGCCAGCCTGCTTGACTGCATTTCCCACAGGCACGGCTGCTCCTGCCCCCAACCCAGGCTGCAGCCTCTCCCCAGCCCTGAGCACACTGACCAGTGCCGGGCCTCAGCAGGCAGCGTGGCCTGGCCCCAGCCTCCCTCCCAGTGCAGGGCTCTGGCTCCGCTCCCACCACTGCATCCTGCGTGTTCTGGAGACACTGAGGCCTCCGTATGGCCCCCCTCTCCATCCAGCCATTAATGACAGGAGTACTGTGTGTTCCCTCCTGGCCACGCAGCCAAAAAAGCTGGATGTGGGGGGTGTGGCTGAGCCAGCCTCCAGGCTGAGCAGAAGACTGGGGCTCAAGGAAGGGGGTCTGAGGATGACACTCCTCACCACACTCTTCATAAATGGAGGGGTCTCGGACCAGGTCCCCACCTGGAGAGCCCAAGCTCTGCAGGGAGCTAAGCTCAGGGTGCCATGGCCCCGGTGACAGGCTCCAGCCAGCCTCACCCAGCTCACGCTGAGGCAGCCACATGTTCCCCTGCTAACAGTAAGCATTCGGAGCCGTCGGCTGGATGTGGCTGCTCGAGAGCAGGCTGAGGCAGTGGCCCTGCTCACAGGGGCCATGCAAGCCCTGAGGCCTGAGATGCTGCTGGGAGACAGGATAGCTGACAAGACTCAGCGCCACCATCAGGCTGTGACCAGGCACCCTGCTCATTGCCTAGCTCCAACCCATCACCTGGAGGTGGGGTCCACCTGGGAGGCCCCCAGGGGAGGGGGAAGTACCAGCATCGACCTCAGCTCCAGCCACAGAGAACTACGCCTGCCCTCTCTGATGCCGAGCCTCTCAGCACCCTGAGATCCGGCCCTTAATCCTGGGACGCTGCCACACCTGTCCTGGCCCAAGCCCTGCCCTGACACCCCAGCCAGGCTGGGCTCTGGGTCCCTGACACTGGAGGGCCCATGGGGCTGGGGACACCTGCATGGGCAGCAGAGTACGATTGTGCCCTTGGCAGAGTCCAGAGAAGGTGGCCCCGAGAAGATGGTGCCAAAGTGGGGGGCTCCGGCCTTACCTGCCAGCCGCACCACAAGCAGGGTCATGAGGGCCCAGGCCGGCGCCTGGCTCCTGCTTCTGGCGCCCATTCTGGGGGCTGGCAAGGTGGGCAGGCGGCGAGGGACTGGGCCTTGGTGCCTGCTCTGCAGGGGCCTGGGCTTATGTAGCAGAACTCCTTGGCCCCATGCCCACTCTTGGGCCACGCAGGGCAGCGTCCACTCCCTGGGGGCAGCCACGTGTGTTTGCTCTTGGGGAGGGGCTGTGGCAGAAAGAGGCTTGAAGGAAGGATTTGCAGGGCTGGGCCACCAGGCACAGGCACCCCTGCCCCTCACGTCAGGGTTGGAGTGAGAGGCTGGTGCTGTCTTGCTGGACAGACCCCTGGGGTGTCAGCTGGTGAGAGGAGGCCTCAGCAGTGGCTCGCTGCTCAGTCACAGCTTAGCCTGGAAGGGGGAACCAGGGCTCACGCTGGAACAGGAATCCCCAGGGCTCCTGCCCAGCCCCGCCGGGGGAGTATTGGGCTGTGCTGCTGCACAGGCTCCTGGTCTGTGTGTTTCATGGGGCCCAGGAGGAGACTCCTGGCCCAAGCTCCCAGTGGAGCTGGCCAGAATCCCCTGCAGAGTCTGACTTTCTCTGGCCTCTTTGCTGCAAGAGTCAGCTTGGAGGAAACTGAGGCCCAGCGCAGCACCGGCTGAGACAACACTCTATTGGGTCTCCCCCTTCCAAGTGGTAGAGGCAGTGGCCATTCCTTGGGGCCTGGGGCCTGCCTGGGCCTTAGCTGGCAGGCCCCACACAGACCACAGGGCAGCAGTGGTGGAATCTAGGCGTGCTGCCCACCCCAGGTGCCCTCGCTAGGCTTCTGAGGGTGCAAGGCAGCCTTTCCCAGAAGTGATGTCCGGCGAGCCTCCTCCCTGTGGGCACTATGACTTCTTCCCGTTGGTGCAACTTGAGCTGCCCCTGTACTACTCTTATAGCAAAGCTGCTGGCTTTGGCCCCACAGGCCCACATGGGAGTGGGACAGATGGACGTGGGAATGTCCACAGGACAGACAGTCACACAGACGTGGAGCAGAGGCAGGGTCCTAAGGCTCTCCCCGCCCTGGGGAACCCTTGGGTGGTTTCTAGGTTGCTTTGCTTTATAACTGAGCACTGTCCAGGTCCCTCTGAGGAGGACTGGTGCGAATGGCACTGTGGCAAAGGGGAGCCCACCAGAAAGCCCTGTGAGCACCATAACGGGACCAGCAGCCCTGGTCCACTCACTCAAGGCCCACAGGGGTCAGGTCCACAGAGACGGCAGGTAGGGTGGGTGGGTAGCTGAGGGACAGAGATGAGGATGCCCTGGTGGTGACAGTGGTGCTGCCTGAGTGTGGACAGCTTGGTGCCCCGACTGAGGCAAACACAGCCAAGGCAGGAACTGTGTGTCAAGCACCTCTCAGCAATAATTTCGAGAGGTTTGGGATGGATTTCACTGATGGGCTTCCATGCATACCCAGTGATCCTCCAGCCTGCCCTTGGGTGACACCTCTACCACTTGAGGGGCTAGGATCTGTGTGGCCTGGCCAGCCAGGCTCTCCGCTCCAGTGTAGCGCCCAGGACACGCTGGCTCCTCCCCATCTCTGGTGTTCCTAGGTTGGAGAAGCCCAGGCTGGGTTTCTAGGACTCTCCGTCTTCCAAGCATGCTGGTAGCTCTGCCACAAGAGGGGCTTGAAGGACCCATGGCCCTGTGGCCCTGCCTAGGCCCTGGAGCCGCTAGCCCCTGTGCCCCTCACCTCAGTTCTGCTCCAAGACACTCCCGGATGCTGCGGTGCCTGACTCTGGAGCCAGTTTCAGCACTGCCCAAGGCCTGGACAGCCCCCCGCCCCACTACCACCTTCCCGGGCAGCTAGCTGTCCTCTGCAGCCACTTGCAGGTGGTGCAATCCTCATCTTGCCTGGAAGGCACAGCATGCACAGTGGCATGCGACACCCTGCCCCGGGCCCCGCCTTGTCCCAGGACAGCTGGACCACTGCACCCCAGAGGGTCTGCTTGGAGACTTCCCGGATGCGGCCACCAACCTGTTTGCTCAGCCGCGGGAAGTTTACCTCTTCACAGTTGAAGGACTAGAGAAAGGGGCAGGGAGGACGGGACACAGTGGCCCTGCTAGGGAGGGGACCAAGGCCTTCCTAGGACACTGGGTCACGTCACCGCCACTGTGCCAGGAACCTGCCCTGCGGCTTTGACCTGGGCGTGCCTGTCCCTCATCCCCTCCTATTTTGGGGCCAGCAGAACAAAGGAGACTGCTAAGCCACATAGGACTGGGGCGGACACGTTCCCCATGGATAAAGACTCCTACCGGTAGACTCACCTACCCCACAGGAGTGACCTCACCCCCACCACCCAGGGCCCCCCAGGTGCTCTGCAGAGGTGACCCTGGGCCCCGACCACCTCCTGCACACAAGCCCTTGCTCAGAACCATTGCCCACAGAGAGCCTGGCCACAGCTAGGGGTCGCCCACTCCCCACTGCCCAGCCTGCCTTGCCTCCTCCTGCAGAGCAGTGCAGATCCAGGACACAGGCCCAATCTTCTGGTTCTGAGTGCTTGCCACAGCTCCTCTGGACACTGGCTTGCTGGCCCTAGGAGTGTCGCCAGCTCATTCCACTTAGCACCTGAAAACCTGCTTTCCACACCCCAACCACTCACCAAGGACCCATTCCTCAGTGTGCCCCCTGGCACTCGCCCTCCTCCGCCCTCCCTCCTTCCTGATTCTGGGGATCCAGCCCAGGGGTGCTCTACCATTGGCACTCAGCCCTTTTGATTTTACATTTTAACATAGGGTCTCGGTAAGTTGCCCAGGCTGCCTCAGCTGCCCACGTGGCTGGGTCAGCTAGTTTCCACTGTTGTGATAATAGGCATCTCACTGGGTGTGAGGGGAGCTGCACGCTGGTTTGATAAGCACTCCTCTGAAGCCGAGCATATGGAATTGGCCGTGGGCATCTTATTTGGAAATGTGTCTATTTGAGTATTAGCTGGGGTGTGTGTGCGTGCGTGTGTGTGTGTGTGTGTGTGTGTGTGTGTGTGTGTCTTTTCTATTCCAAGTTCAGTTTTTTAACCGGTGTGAGGTAGAGGTCCGACTTTGGTCTTCAATGTGTGGGTACTGATTGGGCTTTCCCAGAAACGGCCCACAGAGAGGGCTTACATCCAGCCTCCCTTTCTAGGCCGGCCCCATGCCGCACTGGTTCCTGCAGCTTCATGCTCAGTCATAAAACAGGAAAGATGAGTCCTCCAACTTTTCTCTTCTTTTTAAAGAATATGTTGGATACTCAGGGTCTCTTGAGATTCCAAATGGCTTTTCCCATTTCTACAAAAAGCTATTGGAACTTCAGTAGGACTGAGAGAGAAATTAGAAAAACAATACCTTTTACAATAGCAACGCGGAAAATGAAATATTTTGGAATTCACTTAACCAAAGAAGTCAAAGATCTTTTCATGGAAAATTATAGTACCTTGAAAAAAGAGACCATAGAAGATTTCAGAAAATGGAAAGATATTCCCTGCTCCTGGATAGGAAGAACCAACGTTGTGAAGTTGGCCATACTCTCAAAATTGTTGTACAGATTTAATGCAATTTCTGCCATGAACATACCTCCCAGAACTAGAGAAATCGTTCCTAAAATTTATTTGGAACCAAAAAAGACCTAGAATAGCAAAGGCAATCCTGGGCAATAAAGACAAGGCAGGAGGCATTACAATTCCTGACTTAAAAGTATACTACAAAGCTACTGTGATAAAATCAACATAGGATTGGCAACAAAATAGACCTAAGGATTCATGGAATAGGTTAGAAGATGCAGAAGCCTCTATGAACACACTCAGCCACCTGATCTTTGACAAAGGGACCAACCACGCTTACTGGAAGAAAGTTACCTCTTTAACAAATGGTGCTGGAATAACTGGCTCTCTACATGACAAAAACTAAAACTTGACCCAGGTCTATCACCACGCACTAAGCTAAAGTCAAAATAGATTAAAGATCTAAACATTAAAACAAAAACACTAAATCTCCTGGAAAGTAGGAGGAACTCTTGAAGACATAGGGGTAGGCAAAGAGTTCATGAATAAAAATCAAATTACACAGGTAACACTTGAAAGAATTAACAACTGGGACCATCTCTTATTGAGAAGTTTTTGCATTTCAAAAGAAATTATCAACAAAGTGAAAAGACAACCCACAAATTTCGAAAAAATCTTGACAAATAAGCACTCAGACAAAGGTCTGCCCTCTAGAATTTATAAAGAGCTAAAATACATTGGGGCCCCTAAATTTAAAGACCCAATTCAGAAATGGGCATCCGAGATGAACACACACTTCTCAGAGGATGAAATAAAAGAAGAGAATAAATATATGAAAATATGCTCCACATCATTAGTCATCCATGAAATGCAATTTAAAACAACACTGAGATACCATCTCACCCCAGAAAGAATGGCTATCATAAACAAATCACCCAACAACAAATGTTGGAGAGGCTGTGGGGAAAAAGGAACCCTTCTCCACTGCTGGTGGGAGTGTAGACTGGTGCAACCGTTATGGAAATCAGTATGGAGACTCCTTAGAAAAGTTGGTCTGGAAATCCCCTTTAAATCAGCTATTCCTCTACTGGGAATTTTTCCAGAGGATCTGAAAACATCATATCATAGTGATATATGTGTTCCTATGTTTATAGCAGCACAATTTGTGATAGCCAAATCTTGGAAACTGCCAAGATGCCCATCAGCTGAGGAATGCCTGAAAAAGATGTGGTATTTTTATACAATAGAGTATTACTCAGCTATAAAAAATGATAAACTTGAATTATTTACATTTAAGTGGATGCCACTTGAAGATATACTCATTAGTGAAATAAACCAGACCCGCATGTGTAAATATCATATAGTCTCCCTAGTATAACAAGTCAAAAGAAGAAATACAAATAGGAAGGTATAACACAACTAAAAGGAAAGCGAGAACTTGAGGATTGGACAATGAGGAGAGGGCAAGGAGAAAAGCTGGGAAACAGGACAGGGACAAAGCCATACATTTATATGCACAAGATGGGTAAGGCAATGATCCTGAGAAACATCAGCAGGTTTTGAAACTAGT